GTGAGTGAGTGAGTGAGTGAGTACGAGAGTGAGTGAGTGAGTGAGTGAGTGAGTGAGTACGAGAGTGAGTGAGTGAGTGAGTGAGTGAGTGAGTGAGTGAGTGAGTGAGTGAGTGAGTGAGTGAGTGAGTGAGTGAGTGTGTGTGTGTGTGCTCACCCTGTTGACAGTCTCTTTGATCACAGGAACTGGAAGGTGAGGTAGAGACGTCTGATAGCTGTAGAGCAGAGGCTTCCTGCTGGATAACAGCCTGAGGAGAGTCTGAGAGAAACAAGAACATTGTGACATCACTACGTAACACTAGCGCTCCTATTGGCTAGCGCTCCAACACATTGTACGTGATAGGCTAAAGGGGCGGAACATCTCTAAGCTGGTCGACCAATCACAACAGAGCCGGCCAGCTGACCAATCAGAGCAGACTGGGCTTTTAAGTTAAGTTGTTAGAAATTGGAGCAGAAATACAAATATTTTAGTGCAGTCTATCTGAAGTTAAAGGTTTGGAATAGGCAGCGTTGTGCAGAATATACAGATATGCAAGGTTTATATAACTGTATTACTTATAGAGACACTTGAAAGTAAGAAAGATGTATGACGGACGCTGCATCGATGTTCACTTGTGTTTTATTATTTAAAAAATGGGAAAAAGTTGATTTATAAACGTCCGATACTTGAATGCAGGACTATCTCTATGTCTACAGAGAGTGTGTGTGTGTGTGTGTGTGTGTGTGTGTGTGTGTGTGTCCCAGCATTACTATACGTGTGGGGACCTACTATATACTTGTGGGGATCTGTTTACACAGTCACGTGTGGGGACTCACCTCCCTTATGGGGACCAAATGGAGGTCCCCATAAGGGAGGGGAATCATTCATTTTTGTGTGAAGACTTGGTTAGGGGTGTGTGTGTGTGTGTGTGTGTGTGTGTGTGTGTGTGTGTGTGTGTGTGTGTGTGTGTGTGTGTGTGTGTGTGTGGTCTCACCACCCAGATCTTGGTGGTGTTGGAGACTCGTCCGTGCTGCTCGAACATCCACTGATGGTATGAGAGCAGCAGCTTGAGACAGAACCTGAGAGCCAGGATGAGGCTGAGCCAGAGCAGCGTGCTGAAGAGCAGAGCCGACAGCATGGTCTGACCCTGAGAGCTGAGGGACACGTGGAGGCTGGAACACACAGGGAACATCACGATTACATTTAATACCGTATTAACCCAAATATAACATTTTTAGTAGAAAGAATTCTGAATAAAGAGGGGTCGTCTTATATTCGGGGTCTAGACTTTTTGATGTCACAAGAACAGATGGTGCCAAACGATTGTTCCCCCAAGAGAGACACTGTCTTAACAATTGGGGTAAGGAAGCACCACCAACGAAAAACCAATGGGTAGTAATCGTGGAAGAAATATCTTTGATGAAAAAACTATAAATTGAGATTGCAAGAAACACAACAGAAAGTGGTTAAAATAGACTCTATACAAAACTAAAAACAAAGACCTTTGACCGGAACAATAGCTAATAGTTACATGTATCATCAAGAACATAATAACATGAAGCCTTTTATTCATTTATTTTGTATAGCCTTGCTGGCCTTTTGTAACATGATTGTTATGCTGTTGTAATGTGACAATACATATTTAAATTACACTCAGAGACACGTGGAGGCTGAAAACACAGAGAATATTATGTTAGATTACATTTAGAACCGTCTATTTGCAGCTCAGATATTTATGTCAGAGATTGATCCATTATCCTCGATAACCACCAAAAAACACTCCAACTGGGTCCAAATCCTCCTCGCCATTGTGCTGGAGACCCTACTACGTATACTGTACATTTATTTTTTTTGCAATTATCTTTTTATTGAAATAGCAGATTGTCACATACAAGACAGCAAAAACTTGACATATCACTATCCGTTGTTGTCTTTATAAACAGCCAAATAAAATAAAAAAGTTGGAATTGGAAAGTCAGAATTCTGTGAAAATAACTTGGAATTCTGAAAACACACAGGAAACATCAGGTTAGATTCAATGTAATAATCTATTTAGAGCTCATAGAGTCCTGTTGTGACCCTGACATGTTCAGTTTTATGTTAGAAACCCTGAAATGTCAGGGTAGCATATGTAAACAATGGATTCAAAATGGCTTGGCCGATTTTGGACAAATTTGTAGTGGTTTTGTGGATTATTGAGGATGCTGAATCCATTTCTGATGTCCCATAGCGATCGCAATATTGATTATGATTTATTACGTAAATCCATAAATCTAGAGTTGAGGTTGCACTTAAAAATCTCACACCCTTGCAAAAAATATCTGCCCTATGACACAGCTATAGTCATCAACAGGCAGACAGACAGGCAGACAATTGGGATTTAAATAAAAGGACTGTATTCTGTTCTCTGATTGTAGCTGGGATTCGGAGCTGCTTTAAGTGGAATAATGCTTTCTCCTCTTTCTTGTAATCCTATTTGCAGTTGCTCTGTATGATGATAAACTGTCTGAGAGGAAGTGACATACCACACATGCATGTAATACAGCCTTACAGCCAGCAGGGGGCAGATTGTAAACAACTGATATGATCTCATTCATATCTTAAAGCTGCAGAAGAGCAACAGCGACCTCTGCTGGTTCAAAGAGGAAACAGCAGAATCACATAAAGCAGGACGAGAGACAAACCTGAGAATCATAATAATAATAATAATATTGGGTCGTATGGAAGCACACGTAACTGATATTCAACTGATATCCCAACATGAACTAGAGCATTAACCACATTTCATCAAGCACAATACTTGGTAAAGGTTAAATATGTTATCCACTTGTATTTCTTAACACTGTGAGCCATGTTCACGCTCAACTCTCTGGGCCAATCCCAAACCACCCCTACACACTACCCCTACACACTTACCCCTACACACTACCCACTACACACTTACCCCTACACACTACCCACTACACACTAGCCCTACACACTAGCCCTACACATTACCCCTACCAGAGTCCTGCATCGGATCGGGTATCCGCGGGTACCCGACGGGTGACCCGCAAAAAAGGTGATTTGCGGGTGGTATTTTTTCAAACGCTTTTTTCCGGGTTCGGTTCTGGGTAAAACAAAGATGATGCGGGTCGGGTTGCGGGTGTTGCATAATAAATATATTTAAATAATAATAATTTAGTTTAATGTTTAAATCCTCAGACCTCTCCCCCGCGGGACCGAGCATAATCATAACCTCTGCAGCGCATCAATCTGCTGCTGAGCGCGCCACATTCTGAATGGCTGAGGTGAAGCTCTCTAGCGGAGAATACAGCATTTTCAAT